CCACTCTACTTGGCATTGTTGAGGCCTCAGCTGGAATACTGTGTCCCGTTTTAGGCGCCAGGCTTTAGGAAAGACGTGGATAAACTGGAGAGAGTCCAGAGGAGAGCAACAAATAATAAAAGGTTTAGAAAACCTGATCTATGAAGAAAGGTTGAAAAAACTGGGCATATTTAGTCTTGAGAAAAGAAGACTGAGAGGGGGACTTCATAACAGTCTTCAAATCTGTTAAGGGCTGTTCTAAAAAGGATGGTGATGGATTGTTCTCCATGTGCACGGAAGGGAGGACAAGACATAATGGGCTTAATCTGCAGCCAGGGAGATTTAGGTTAGATATTAGGAAAAACTTTCTAACTATGAGGATAATTAAGTTCTGGACCAGGCTTCCCTGGAAGGTTGTGGAATCCCCTTCACTGGAGGTTTTTAAGAACAGGTTGGACAAACAGCTGCCAGGGATGGTCTGGGTATACTGGGTCCTGACTCACTGTGGAGGGATGGATTAGATGATCTCTCGAGGTCCCTTGCAGCCCTACATGTCTATGGTTCTATGACTGTAGCATACCCAACTCTTTTGGAATACAGTAATTTTACCTGTGTACGTTTTGGGCCTGATTCTGATCCCATTTATATCAATCTAGCTCCCTTGACTTCAGTGGAGTTACTCCTAGTTTAGGTCCTTTCTGTTTTCCCTTCCATGTCCTTTCCATCCTTTGCTTTATCTCATTCAGTTTCACTCATCGCTTCCACATATGTCTTTTATAATCCAGCTTTGTCCCGTAGGGCTCGATGCAGAGTGATTCCTGCAAAGGGCCGAGCCTCCTCAGCCTCAGTTGAAGTCAGCTAAGCACCTTGCAGGATTGGGCCAAGATGGACCAAAGGTCACTCTTTGCTGGCACTGTCTCTTAGCCTGTTTAGCTGTCTTCTCCTCCTGAGGTTAGTCTCCATCTTACATGTGTGTCCGAACTCAGCTTGTTCTGTAGCCAAGTTCTTCTCCAGGATCATGGCCAGCCTTGCTTGCAATTGGCCCGCACAGTCTTATCAGCCCTGCTGAATTCTTCTGCGAGCAACTGTTCATGTCTGTTGTCAGCTGGGCTCAAACAGGGCAGCGGCTCAGGGTACAAGAAAGAGAATCCCATTCAAGTCGCTGGGATCTATCAAAATGGAATCTTCAGTGCTGCTTTCCTAGAGGCCAGACAGTTCCGGGCTGGGTGGATCCACCCAGGAGAACACCCCATCAGCCTCGGTCGTGGCAGAGGGCCCTGGTGGCAGAACATCAAACAGGGAAAGAAGTCTGTGGATGTGCTTATTCAGGACTTGGCGTCCCGCTGAAGAAGTCCTATGGAGTTAGAAAGCCCCCTCTGCAGTGGGACCCGAGGGTAATAGTGGAAAGGGTGCGGGGAGCCATGTGGTGCAAGGAGGTGCCATCACATGTCAGTGAATCGGGCCCATTGCACGTATCCTTCAGGTTATCCTGTCCCAAATGTAGCTGCTGTAACTGCTGACAAAGCGTCCTTGGTGGCACCGTAAAGATGAGGGGACGAGGCTCCCGGCCTGTGACTTAGTGGCAGCACTGAGCTCAGTCGAATGTCTGATCCCCTGGCCTTGGCCTCCTCCCTTCCCAAGCTGGCAGAGCTCAGGAGCGCTGTGGGAGTGGGTCTCAGTGTGCTGCGCTGTTCAATGGTCATCCCGCTAGCCAACGCTGGAGCGAGGCTGAGGTGCAATGTGGGGAGCCCCCTCCAGTGTGCTCCCCCTGCACGAGGGAGGCTGCAGTGCTGGGCCTAGAAGTCTGGAGTGAATCCAGAGGGCGCCTCAGTCCAAGGTCTGACTGTGCCAGGTGGTGAGTGCAGCTCTTTTCCCTTATCCATTGGCCGGTTCCCTACGGCAGCTGTTAAGGGGTTAAACCCAGATTCGGGATGCTCCTGAGCAGAAAGGACGCCACCTCCCCCTTCCTGTGCGCCTGCAGGGAAGAGGCCCAGCGCCTTGCGCCCAAGCAGCAGGGATCAGCACTGCGAGTGGGGCTGCGCAGCCAACGGACATGGGGGATGTCGGACCATGGCTATGCCCCTTCCACCCAGGCTCAGGGGTCAGGGCTGGGAAGGAGGAAACGCTTGCTGGCCCTCCAAAGCGCACCGGGACTCTGGGAGCAGCTGCTGCTGTGGTCCCCCCTCTCCCCTTGAGCCCCTTGAGGCTAGCAGGAAAAGCCTCAGTAGAGTCCTTAGCATGTGAAAAAGGCAATGACAGCGTGGCCCTTGGGCAGCCTGTCCTGGGGTCCCAGCTCTGCCACTGACTCACTATCTCTTAGGCCAGCTTTCCCTGATTTCCCCTCGTACCTGGGGACTCGTGACTTTGCTTGAGGTCTGTGGCAGCGGTGTGGGCTCCGCGTCTCTGAAAACCAGGCCCATGGAAACCGAGGAACACAGAGACTCAGGCCCACTTGTTCAAAAGGGGCCTTTACTTGTGAGTGTCTCAATTTGCAGGAGCCCAGTTTGAGTCACTGCAGCTACTCGAAAGTGACGCCCGTTTGTTGCTGACATTAAACCTTACTAGTCCCAAGGAAATCCACACGCACAAGGGGGTCGGAATATAGCCCCTTTCTAAAAAGACACTGATGAGGGAAAATGCTTCCCTGAAAATGTCAGGGGACAGTAAATGAACCATTGCCGCTTGTGGTATCCTGGAGCGCTAACACCATTTAGCCTTGTGCATTACTACGATGATTATTATTTGCGTCACAGCAGCGGCTAGATGCCCTCGCTAAGATCAGGGCCCCATTGTGCTCGCTACTGTATGACCTCCCAGGCAGAGCCCATCGAAAGAGACAAGACACAGCTGAAACGTAACAACCTTCAGCTAAAAATGGTTTCAGATAGCCCTACTGATGTGAAACAGTCACGAGCTAGAAGGCGATGCTGAGTAACGGTCCCACGAGCTGCAAGGCTCCTTTTACCATCCCACAACACGGAATTCTCTTTACACGGAGACAAGTGCTGGGCCAGATTCACCTGCACTCAGTGACGTCAGGGATGAATTTGGTCCAACTCCAGTGAAGTCATTAGAGTGATGCCAGGGATGGGTCTGGCTCACTACATTTAAATCTACAGCGACTTCACAGCATGTTATGGGATGGAGTGAGAGAGCAGTTTCCCAATCTTAGCAGCTCACGCTCCCACAGACGTCCACAGTGGCAGAGACTGGCTGGCTCTGTTTAGGAATGCTTGGGGGGATGGAACAAATCTCTCCTGACTGAAGAGCCAGTCTGATCCCTGGTAAGGCCTGTCTCTGCTGGGGGCGCATATGGTGGAAAGGATCAGACAAAGGTCTGCACTGTACACCGCACTGAGACGGTCCCAGTGGTTTGCGACTGCTACTGAAAAGGGGCTGGGAGAATTCTCTTGAGTTTAGAGCAGGGGGCTACAAGTCAGGACTCTTTTGTTCCCAGTGTGTCAGCGATTATATCCACCTACCTCAGAGGGGGTGTTTGGAGACCTTAACTGCTTGTCCAGCACTTCGTAGCGGCACAGCACCCGTTCTTAGTGGAGGCTGGGGCAGCTGAAGTTTTTCTTTCAAAAAGTGGCTTTTTTAAAAAAGTGAAAAACGTTCTGAAAAACATCGTGTCCTCGAAATTTTCCGATTTTTGACCAAAAAACCCTAAAAAGGAAACCACAAAAATAAAGAATAAAAAAAAATCCCCCCAACCCCCAAAATGTTCAGAACCAAAAAAACCTGAAAAATGTTCAGTTTTTGATTTTTTTTTCCTTCAAGGAAAACCTGAATTTTTTGGAGGAAAAATTTCAATGAAAACAAAACCATTTTCATTTTTGTCTACATTTCTTGCAAAAAAAAACCCTCAATTTTTTTTTCAGCTGGCTCGTCCGTTCCTGTCTTGCTTCTTCATCTGCCCTCCGTCCCTTTCTTTCTCTCACAGGATTGCCAACCCCAAATGTTCAAAAATCATGAGTCAGGCTCATCAAATATCATGACATTGGCTTTGAAATCATGAGATTATGTGAAAATAATTGATTTGGGTTCTTTTTATTTGCCTTCTGCTTTTTGACACTTCAGGGTGCACTGGGGTCACATTTTGAAGCTTTCTCCACAGCTGCGAGGGCTAGAAACTTACTTTTTCTTTAAGAATGAAGGCTGAAATCATCACTTATCACTTGACTCCAGGAGCTGGGGCTTTAAGGAAAACAATAATTATCCTGAGTCTCATGACAAAATCATGAGAGTTGGCAACACTGCGTCTCACTCACTGTCTGGATTAACCCTTGCATGTCCTGCAAGCTGTGACCCTCTGAAGTTGACTCTGTTCTGGCCACGTGTTTCCCAGACTGTAACACTAAAGCTGTCTCAGATCTCTCTGCCTGACACCTTATCCTGGCAGTGCTGCTGGCAACACAGCATGGGGCATCCAGGATGAGAGAGCGTGACAAACAGAGCTGGTCGGAACATTGCCAATGAAATGGAATTTCACCACAAGATCTTGTTTCATTGAAGCCTAAACGTCCAGAGATGTTAGAGTGACAAGATGGGTGAGATAATATCTTCTATTGGACCAACTTCTGTTGGTGAGGTAAAAGATATGACCTGCCCCACCTTGTCTCGCTAATATCCTGGGACCAACATGGCTACATCACGGCATACGTCCAGAGATATATCGGTTTCAACAGTTTCTGGTAAAAAAGACTGATGTCGCATGGTTGAGGGGTTAAGGCCCTGACCTGGGATGTGGGAGACCTAAGTCCCTGGTGTGCCTGATTTAGAACAATTTGGGATGGAAAACTCTGTTCTGAAGCAGGCAGAGCAGGGACTTGAATGTTGGTGTCCCATGGGTCAGTGCCCGGACCGCCAGGATACACACTCTGAATCGAAAAGCTTGGGTTTGCATCTTAACACGGACACTAGAAAGTATTGGCTCAACCTTGCTGATCGACTGGGGAAGGATAATGCGTTTCCAAGAGCGCTCCCTTCTCATGCATAACGTCTGCCTGTTTGATTTTCAGGTCCGGATATGTTCTGTGATTTTAATGGCAAGAAGTACGGTCCAGGAGAGAGCTGGCATCCCTACTTGGAACCCCAGGGGCTGACGTACTGCATCCGATGCACCTGTTTGGAGGTATATCGTCACAGTCTAATCTGTTGTGCTGATCTACAATATGAGAACAGGTGTCACTGGTTACCAGACTTGTTTATAGTGGGCTGCTGGGCGTTAACCTTGCTTTGGCGGCCTTTAATCAGCCCAGTTATGATGGCAAACTGCAGTTGGCTTAAGGGTAACCAGCTGCTGGATTAGCCTCATCCTTTCTGGAAACTCATTTCACAACTGAATCCCCCGGATGGCAAAACTTTATCACTGGCTCTCACAGCTTCGTAAACTGCATTCTCCCGGGAAGCCATGCTGGTGGATTATGGGTGGAGTTGTGGTGGGGTCCTGACCCATTGAGGGCTTTGATGTTCAGGGACAGGGCCCTGGACTAGCAATGGAAGTGGACTGGGAGCTAATGGAGGGACTGGAGAACAGGGGGTGATGGCCTTGCAGTAGCCCATCCTGCTGAGGAGACTTGCTGGAGCTGGAGCTTCTGCATCTTCTGCTATGTTGAGTCCTCCTAGACACAGGGAGAGCCTGTCTGGAGTGACAAACACACGGGTCCCTGGGGCCAGGGCCAGGAGCAAAGGATGACATTCCCCAAAGAAGACTGAGGCTGCATTGTGCTAGACCCTGCACAAACACATAATAACAGAGAGTCCCATAAACCTGACAGTCCAAATAGGCATAAGAACGGCCATGATGGGTCAGACCAAAGGTTCATCTAGCCCAGTGTCCTGTCTTCCGACAGTGGCCAATGCCAGGTGCTTCAGAGGGAATGAACAAAAAATCATCAAGTTATTTATCCCCTGTTGCCCATTCCCAGCTTCTGGCAAAGGGTGGGAGGGGAAGCAATGGCACAGAGACGGAAAGTGCCTTGCCTAAGGTCACAGGGAGAGCGAGGAGTAGATCTCAGGTCTCCTGAGTCCCACAGCAGTGCCCCAGGTACAAGACCATGGAGCCTATTGGATCAGATCAACTTAGTGAAGAGTCAAGCAATGCTGAGGCTTTGCACTGTTTGGATGAACAGGGAGCTCTGACAGGATCGGGGCACGGGGCAGAATGTTTACAGGCCAGCTGGCCCCTCTAGTAACCGGTCAGACAGCCTCATAATCATTGTACTGGTCAAGGATCATAAGCTGGTTAGCAGCTCGCGGTGGTACTCAACAATTTAAATACAACTGCCCAGACCCTAAGCTGGGGTAACTCAGCCTAATGCCTTCCACTTCTGGCTCAGTCCAAAAGGCCAAATAAGGCAGCATCTTCATAAAGGACTGGGGGGGAAGGATTTTTGTCCCTGAGCAGCCCTGTTCTCTCTCCCTGCAAACAGAATGTGAATGTGAGCTGTTACCAAATCCAGTGCCCAGCCCTGCATTGTGTAAAGCCTGTCACTGACCCACAGCAGTGCTGCCCTCGCTGTGCAGGTAAGTGGATTTCTGGAGCAGATTTCTTTGTTCCACATTTCTGTTTCTCTGGGAGCTCAGTTTCTGTCGAGGCTTCTGCTTCTGGACAGTCAGGGCGTGAGGGAAACAGTAATCATAACAACGCTCTGCACTTATAACATTGTTCTTAGCTCTAAATATTTATATTAGGAGAGGGTCCAAAAGCCCAATCGGGAACGGGGTCCCCGTGTGCCGGGATCTGTACAAACCCAGAGGAGACAATGCCCAATAGAGCCAGATCACCGACTGGTGTCAGCACGGACATTAAGGGAGCTGTGCCAATTTCGCCAGCTGAGGAGCTGGCCCACAGAACCCCCTTTGCCCCCAGCGATGTCAAAACACTTGGTGAAAGAGGGCAAAAATGGTTGTCCCCATTTCACAGCAGCACAGGGTGGCCCTGAGACCGGCTCAGTGCCTCACAGCGTGGCAGGGCTGGAAATAGCTCCTGGATCACATGATATTTTGTGAGGAGGCCGTGGGGACACGCCCACCCAGGCGAGGCTGAACTGGGTGCGCGGACCCAGGTGCTGGTCTCCTGCATTAACTCTGCGATGAAGACACACCCTTAGTCTCTCTGTTCCAGTGTATCCCTCTGCAAAGTGGAGACCATCTCACGGGGGCGCTAGGATTACTGTGTGTAACGAGCTTTCATGGCCTCAGAGGAACGTTGCTGTAGATGTACAAACTATTATTATTCCACCTCACTACTGGAAACAGACGCGCCGTCCGGGCCGCTGCATGACAGGACAGGAAAACATAGAAATCTGAGCTAAATCCATCAAACCCTAGTGGTTTTTGTCACCCCCCCCCCCCCCGCTCCAAACGTATAGCACTGCATTGTGGCTTAGACAACGTGCTCACATAGGGATGGATTTGAGGTGTTCAGAATCCTCCCTTACACCCTTGTGCAGGCTACCCGGGGCAGGTGAGGCCACATCTGGTGCATTGGTCGGGGTAGGGAGCAGAATCCAGGCTCTCCTCATTCCCTGCCCCCTTCCCTGCATTGTGGGGAAGAAAGTGCTGTCGGGGCAGGGAAGTAGCCTCTCACCACCCTCTGAAGCCAAGGGGAGAAAGGGAAAAAGTGTGGCTTCCTCATCCACAAGTCCTTTCCTTTTACTATGGCGTCTTTGGCAATCTAACTCTAATTTTAAGGTTAGCAATAATCTGACAGAGCGCCAGAGCAAACTGTCTTTATGGGCTTCCTTCCAGCCAGAGATGGCCCAGGCCAGGCTGGATCCGGGGCTGGGCGGGGGGCTGATAAAAGTGTTCCGTGTTTACATCTCCCCTGGAAGATGGTCCCAGCTTCCCATTATTCAGAGCAGCGTCAGCGGAGAGGATCTGTTTAGTGTCAGGGTTTCAGGTCCTGCGTGCCGGGCCTGGGAAGCGACGAGACTCAGCGGGGCTGTTGCTGTCCCTCCTCTCTCCCTGTAGAGCCGCACACGCCGTCGGGTCTCCGGGCGCCTGTGAAGTCTTGCCAGTACAACGGGACAACCTACCAACCAGGGGAGATGTTTACCACGAGCGAACTCTTCCCTTCTCGGCAGCCAAATCAGTGTGTACAGTGCAGCTGCTCCGTAAGCTATTTTTGAATCAAAGGGAGTCGCAATGCTTTATCTGTCAGGTGGGCATGGGTTTGAAGGGGGAGGACGTGGTCAGGGAGTGCCAAATCTTTGTGTTTTAATCTTTATGTCGCTACAACAGCATCACAATAATCTGACCAGCTATTCCAGCTCAGCTCTGTAAGGGGTGCTCCCGCTGGGCACGGCTGGCATGGCAATGTTATTCCCCATGAGCTGATTCTGGTAGCCATCCTCATGTTGAATAGTACCTCGCTCCATGAGGAGTCCCATTGGCTTCCGTAGGACTATTCAGTGGCGTCAGGTAGCGTCTCAGAGCCTGTCCCTTTGGATAGGATTCTGCTCTTACCCTGGTGTAATCTGGAAGATCTTCCATTGTAGTCAATGGAGTCACAATGGAGTAAAACCTGCATAAGTGAGAGGAGATTGGGATCCTTCCCCATTACATGAGAACGATCAGACTTGATGAGAGGCAGGAGTTCTCTGGCCAACCGACACCTAGGGCTGGGTTCTGATCTCTTACACTGGTGTCAATACAGAGTAATCCCATTGACTTCAGTTGAGTCTCTCTGGGTTTACAATACTGTGTTGAATCAAGTTCAAGGTCTTAGTTCTTGTCTTCAAGGTGCTCGCTCAATGGCCTGGGCCCATGTTATGGGGCTGGTACAGCCTGCAGTTGAGTCTGGATGTCCGCCCTTGGCTTCTGAGCCGTACAGTCTAATGGTCGGGGTCAATAGGGTGCCCTCCCTTGCAGGGCTGCATGGCCTAGTGGCCAGGGTCAATATGGCAGCCCTCCTCATCAGGGCAGTGTGGCCCAATGGTCAGAGTCCATAAGGCTGCACCTTCTCACAGAGATGTGTGGCCTAATGGCCAGAGTCAATATGGCTGCCCTCTTCATCAGGGCTACGTGGCCTAGTGGTCAGAGTCAATAGGGCTACCCTGGACCAGCAGGGCAGTGTGGCCTGGTGGCAGGAGTGGTTGGAGAGGTGGGCTGTTGCCTGGGGTGGGTGGCAGTAAGGGTAGGGGGATCCGGGCCCTCCCTACTCCACTGGGTCCCAACTCAGGGCCCTGGTGGTGGCGGGGTTGCCCGCCACCTGCTCAGCGGGGAGCCTCCTGAAACATGCTGAGCCAAGCCCTGGTTCTTTGACTGTTTCCCTGTTAAGTTCCCCCGGGCTATTTCCTACCCGTTCCTCCACAGCTAGTTGTCTTGGGAGTCCCATGGCCTCTCCTCCCTCTGCAGCGTTGGATGCCTAAGCGTCACTGGTCATCGCTGGCTGGCTGGCCACTGCGAACTGGAGTGTTGGAGGTCCGTCTGCAGGAGCATGCAGTGCACCTCCGTTCTCTTAGTTAGTGAGCCCTGACTGAGCTGAGTTGCTCCCTTTAATATCTAGATTCCAGCTGGAGCATGCCCAGCAGACATGCGGGGGCATGGCCTCCTTGGCACACAGAGTGTGGTGAACCCCTGCTGAACCAGTGTGGGTCTGGTACACCCTGTCACAACCCAGGATATCTAAAAGAGCCTAAAGCTCCAGGATGAAGACCATGGTTGAAAACTTCACTCTGGCTCGATAGAATTTAAAGCTCATCTATTCAGGAGATAGAACTTTCTCAGGCGTTGGTCCGGGACTGTGAGATGAACTCCCCCAGGATCTAAGAGTGATCGCAAACCTCACCACCTTCTGCTCCCAGTGCAAGATGCACTTCTTCCACTTGCCTTCTCTGACATGAACACAGAGCATCATGGACATTGCAAAAAATGCTCCCATAACACCCCCAAACAAAACACTGCACTGCACACACAATTCTCCCAATGGGGAGAGGTTGAGAGAGAGAGAGAGAACGAGTCACACGTGACACATGTCGGTCACATCACTTAATGCACGACTGGAAGGCGCTCAGACACTACAGAGATCAGGGAGGGATATGCATCTAGATAGAACAGAATAGAAATCGAATAGTAACCAAGATCAGAATCTGCCCACTGAGTGTGAAGATATGAAGACTGTATTAGGACCAGATTTTAGCTATCCTGCTTATGCTTAGTATTTTCCTTCCACAAGCAGTCACCATTGATTTCTATGGGACTACTCGTGAAGTAAGGTGCCACTCAGCGTGAGTAAGGATGGCAGGTCTTGGATGGCAGGACTTTTCACCTGGGAAGATGAAGGGCCCTCCAAAAACTTCTGACCACACCCTGACTAAATAATTCCTTCCTAAAAGATACAAAAGATCCACCCTGCTACCAGTGCAAGATTGCTCCCTACTGTCCGTTTTCTAGTGCCTCGTCCATCTAATTGTAAACATCCAAAGTTAAGACCAGCAGAGGGGATGGCTTGGAATCATCCATTGGAGTTCACCACAGAGACCTTGCTGGGCTAGAAGCATTACTGTGGAGATGGAAGCACTTGGAAGAGGAGGCTTGGCCGTACACCAACACCTTTGCAGCATGGCTCCTGTGTGCTTAGAAATCCACTGAAGCCATTACATTACCAAGCTAAAGAGCAGATTTCATCCAGGAGCAAGTTACTGAAGCCCAGAGCAGCACTGCATGCCTTAGTAAGTTACATTGCTACCCAGGGTTTGCCTTACAGCCGTGAGGTTGGGACCATTTGTAGCAGAAAACCCTGCAAGAGGCTGTATCTTGTGCTTTCAAGGCAGATTCTGTAGTGAACTACTGTGATTCTCCTCAACTGGTGACCCCAGTGTTGTGGGTGTTATGACCCACTGTCATTATGAGACATTGGCTGTGAGCAGACTCCTGTCATCAGAGATAGTCTTAGCTACTTTGTGTAATCTCTGTTTAGCTGCTGAAGAGCAAATCATTGGTAGTGGATCATCTTGTTTTTCAGTTTGCAAACATTGCCAATGGGCATTTGATGAATATTTTTCTTCCCAGAAAGCCTGAAAGCCTGGGAGCAGACTCAGACAGGGACTTGGCTCGACTCTGGTAGCCTTCTGCCACAGTGTCTTACCCTGTCTTTGCAACAGATAGTGTTAATGGCCTGTTGAAAACCGTGTCCCAACTCCTGTTTGCTTTTTGAACTCTACTAGACTGGCGAGCGCACAGTTTGTCCATTGTAAGGCCCAAAGATGGATGTCTAATGTGTGATGATTCCAGGGCTCAAGATGCCAGTAAGCAGAGTGTCTGAGGATAGATTGAGTGGCTTCTTCTCATCTTTCCCGTTTCTCCGGGAGTAGAACATAAAACTGCCGAGCAATGGCCACTCTAAACTTGGAAGGCGTGTGGTAACATTCCAAGCATCAATAACCTCTCTCTGCATGTCCCAAAGCCATAAAAAGGAGAGTTCTGTACAGAGATTGCTTTCATTCCATTTATTATATAAAGATATTAAAGGGGGCCAGATGGCTTATGGGGTTGTAATTGGGTGTGGAGCCTTTCAACTCCAGATCAAGTTCAGCATGAGAGCGTCCAGAAGTCGTTACTACCTGAAGGTTCTTGGGAAGACTACGTGGAATGAGTTATTGGTCTCAGACCAATTCCTAATGGATGGGTCTCCTCATCACAATGGACACTGGCTCCCTTGTTGGAAGTCTCTGTGGAGGAGCCAAGGATTGAATGAGCCCTGGACAGTGGGGATGGTAAACTAGTGCTAGTACGGCCCGGGGCTTAGTCTTCAGGACTGACAATTTCACATCGATCAACTGCAGTGAAGTCACGCAAAAATTCATTTGAAAAAATAGGAGGGCTTGATTTGTTGTCGTCTTGCACCATGTGTAGTCATTTACCCCTGCGCCAACAGGGCCAAGTCCTCGGTCCTCACTAAGGTGCTTTACACTTCAGCTGACATACTCAACATGAATAAGGATGGCCAAATCTGGCACATAGAGATAGACAGATAGACACGAGTTATACAAATTATATAATTGATGGGGCTGGTTCTTCTCATATTTACACCAATTGTATACCAACATAACTCCTGTTTGATGCCCTTGCTGAAGAGAGGAGAACCAGACCCAAAAGTTTTGTATATATTTGTATGTGTGAAATATAAACAGATGGAGAGGGATGCTTCCGTCAACAATTATATATCACTGCAGCTTTCGGTTTTACTGTCTCATCTGCTTTATGTGACACCGCTGATCAAGAACTCCCAGGTTTGTATGTACTTGCTGGATGCGTTGGATTGCTTTGCTCTGGTTCTCTGTTTATTCAGTGTCTTGGACACTAAGGGGAAAATAAAATGATCACAATGAAGCCAGCCACCAGTAGGATTGTGATTGGTCGTGTCTAATTTTGCCAGTTGCTGAAACAGCTGCACGAACAGCTGGTCTAACTAACCTCTTTGAAAACTGCACCAAGTGCATGGTCTTTGGCATAAATTCTTTTATTTATGGCATTTGCCTCTCTTCCACTTGGCCCATACATACGCAGCTCTAAGCAGCGACCTGACATTCTCAAGGGTAAATAAGGAAACAGTCATCCGTGACCTAAAAACAAGCAAGGGCCAAATTCCAGCAGCACTGAAGTCAGTGGAGATAGTCTGGATTTACACCCCTGACCCAAGAGCAGCATTTGGCTCAAGCCTGTCTTTGTTGAGTGGAGTCCCAGGATATTAGAGAGATAAGGTAATATCTTTTATTGGACCAACTTCTGTTTTAGGTTGGTGTAGTTAGGTCGATGCAGTGTCAGTGTAGACACTGTGTTGACTGTTCTGGCTGTTAGTCCCTGGCACTTGACAGCCAGAGCCCCGCCATCTGGGGCTGACAGTCGGAGCTGGACAGTGGGGCTCCAGCTCCAGGGTAGCAGCCCGGTGGGGCTCCAGCTGTCAGCCCTGGGCGGTGGGGCTTTGGCTGTCAGTGCCCCGCCATGCTCCACACTGACATCCGGGGCATGTGGGTCGCGCACCGCCGACAGAAGGAGCTAGTGTGGACATGCGAAACCAATTTAATTACTGCGGGGGCCGTATATCGACGTAACAAAGTCAACTTAGTTTTGTAGTATAGACGTGCCGAGTGGTTCAGTTTGGATCCATTGATTCACAAGACTTGCTTCCTTCTTATTTCCATTCACCTACACACAACACCCTTGTCTTTTCTCACCTGGCAGTGGAAGAAGCTGTCAAAGGATCTAGAGACGTTCACAGTTAGTTTAATTATCCTCAGTTGGGATACTATAGGTACAATGAAAAATATCCCTGACCCAATGCAAGGGGGAGAGGTCCCTGATATCTATGGGGTCTGGATGGTATAAAAGCCTCATACCAGCTCTCTCTGATTTCTAACTTGCGTTCTGCATAATGGACCAAATTCAGCCATGGGGCAAATGAATGAAACTCCATTGTCTGCAGTGGAATTGTGCTTGCTTACACCCAGGCTGAAGTTAGCCCATTATTCAGACTTATCCATAGAGCGCTGATCTTTTCCAGGCACCTCCCTACCAATAATAAATATTAGTGAGTCTAAACCACAAAATCCATCTCTGGATCCAGATTACAGATTGTTGGGAGCGCTTAGTTCTGCGGGTTTGGATTGACCCAATACAGAGATAGAGCAGAGCTGTAAAATTTGGATCCGGATCTGGGCTCAGATTCCAAACTCCATTTCCCATCTGGTTTCCCCACAAATCTGGGGGTGAATGGATATGGAATGAGAACTTGGCCTGCTATGATGCTGGTTAAACATGGCTGTCACTAGCAGGAGTCTAGCCTGGTTTCCCTAGTCAACTGGGCACAGACTGATTTGGGCACAGACTCATAAATATGAGACTCAGTTTTCCCCTGAGAATCATGCTAATCAAACCAGGCTATAATCAATTCCCTTCTTAATCCATAATGCAGTTTTCATAGCATAGTGCTCAAGCCCAAGATCTGACCACACTCATCAAAAATATGCTGGGACACTGCTAGAGAAATCTGTTTATACAGTCGCACGGTGGCAATTGTTGTTTGGCACTGTTCACACACTGTGGAAGATCAACACTGTCCCTGCCCCAAAGAGTTTACCATCTCAGTGTGGGCTGTGCCCTACCACGCACACTCATTTGAGCATGTGCTATATAATACAATGCAACACTGCTTGATTCTGGTCCTGTCTGGTGGCTGGGGACTGGTCATGATTTCTTTCCCTAGTGGACAAAGACTGCAGAGCCTGATCCTTAGGTGGTGTCAATCAGTGAAGCTCCATTGAAGTCAATAGTGTGCTATCAGTTTACACCAGCTGAGGATCTGGCCCAGGGCCGGTGCAAGGATATTTTGCGCCCTAGGCGAAACTTCCACCTTGCGCCCCCCCCTCCCTTTCCCCTCCCTCTGGAGCATCGCTTATTATAAACTTTCAAAAATGAATACCGCATAATGGGGCATTGTTCATTAGAATTAATACACGTTTGGCTTGAAAAGTTATTCATTTCATTATTTAGTCTTCATATTTAACGAAAATAAATGAATAACCGGACAGTGTTGACATTGTTATCGTTTTCGCTTTGCACAACATAGCTACACACGCGTATTCGCACGCGATAAACATGTACACTCAAGTACTGAACATACCCACACAACGGACACACAGTATCAGCGAAATGACGCAGCAGCACTTGCCAGAGTCTTAGATCTGAAACAACTCAACAAAACTAGTTAACCTCAGTCAACAATCGCCGAAAACGAGTCAGCTTAGCACTATAAACAGCCTGTCAGAACGGGGGACGTCCTTGCCACTTTGTACCCTGGTGAAGCAGTACGCTTGTGCCCGTGACGCAGTGCTGGCATAGGCCAGAGCTGTAATGTACGAGAGAACGGCAGGTTAAAATGCAAGTTCAGCGACGTTTCTCTTTTCTTCATTTATTCGTTTTCCAGCAAGAGCGTAAAAAAACATTGGGGGGCACCGCTTTTTGGCACCCCCAAATCTTGGCGCCCTAGGCGGCCGCCTAGTTCGCTTAGTGGTTACACTGGGCCTGATCTGGCCCAAGGACTGTACATTTAGAGACAAAGCTGGGGAAGGGTGCTCCAATATGACAGTTTCAGATACTTAGCTCTTCTATAGCACTTTTAACCACTAGATCTCAAAATGCTTCACAAAGGAGGTCAGTATCATTAGCCCCATTTTACAGATGGGGAAACTGAGGCACAGAGTGGCAAGCAACTTGCCCAAGGTCATCCAGCAGGCCAGTGGCAGAGCTGGGAATAGAATGCTGGTCTACTAAACTATGTAGATTGAAGCTGGAATGGAGTAATTGCAAATTATACAACAGCTGCCCTTATTGCTATAGCAAATTGAGGGCCCTATCAATCCAACCATTTTTAAGAACTGCCCACTGAAATCAAATAGTGAAATCTGCTTAAAAATCAATGGCACAATTTGGCCCCTGGCTACTAAACACTAAGGGTCACTGTACTTGTCCGGACATAGTTAATGCAGATGATGCATCAGGTTGTTTTTTGTGCTTTCTAGGAAGGCCAGATTTACTGCGGCTTGGTGACCTGCCCTGATCTGTTGTGCTCCTCTCCTCTAACTGTGCCAGACTCCTGCTGCCAAGTCTGCCAAGGTAACATGGGAACCAGTCCCTGCTACTAAGTGAGGTCTGCTGTCAGGTCAGTGGATGGGAATCACAGCCCTGGCCGTTAGCCAGGAGGGGGAATGTCGCACTTATTAAATATGACTTTGAAGATCCATGCTGTAAATTGCACAAATCTCTGCCTCCGGGTCACCAGCAATGGTAAGAGAGTCTGACACATGCAAAGCCTCTTGGGCCAAATTCTTCTCTGTTCCAGCAGTGCCCCTCTGCTGTGTCTTTGTGTGGAGTGTAAGTAGGATCAGTGTCATGGCCTGAGTCGAACTCCTTGTTCAACTGGCGCTGTTATATTATGTTAGTGACATGAAACCCTCATGGAAGTTCATTTGTCAGGCTCGGGAGAGGCTGCTTTGCTGGTGGAAATCAGACTGGGTATCACTATTATTGTCATCGCTCGGATAAACTGGTGAAAATGCCACAGTGGCATAGTCATTCTCAGGGGATAAAGACACCCTGAGGTTATTAAGAACCTCAGTGGCATTTTATGCTTGATTCTCTAGCTCTAAGAAAAGGAGTACTTGTGGCACCTTAGAGACTAACCAATTTATTTGAGCATGAGCTTTCGTGAGCTACAGCTCACTTCATCTAGCTCTAGTGACTTTACTGTCGTTCATCGAGATTTACACCAGGGTGAGTGGGAAGACAATCAAGCCCCGTGTTTATATGTAAAATTCAGAGCAGGGAGTCAGACCAGCAGTTTCACATCACACTGTTGCTGTCTACTAAAATGATAAACAGTTAGAGGCCCAAATTTTGCTATGTTACACCAGGGTAAATCTGGAGTAACTCCACAGAAGTCCGTGGAGTTCCTCCATATTTAGAGCAGTCTAACTGAGAGCTGAAATTGGCAGACGTGTTGCCAGCAGCCACCAGAAATGGTGTGAGACAAACAGGGTTTTAGACAGAGTGCCACCGTCCCCTTTTCATGTGTAATTATTGGGGTTACTCTGTACCCCAAACTCTTAAGGAGCCAGTAGCGTTCCCAGTGTACCATGTCCTGGCGGCAAGCACTATAGGTGCTTCAGCTAGGCTGTGTAGGCATTAGCCCTGGGGGTCTCCATAACCACTCAGCCACACGGCTCAGGGAAAGGTTTCTGATAGATGGGGCTGGCAGGGAGAAGGCTGTAAATACCCTAGGTGCAGAGGTTTAAAGGTACTGTTCAAAGTGAGCAATAATGGCTCCTGTTTGCGTCCCTGGGGCAGTCCAATTGAGTGAGGGTCAGGGCTTTTCAGGCCTAGTGCTCAGGGAGCCCCTTCCCATCCAGTCTCTATTCAAGCCAATAAGCATTGTGGGTTTCCAAGCCAGGCTCTGTTAGTCTCTCACTGGGGCCCCTTTGCAGTGGTTCCATGCCCATCTGCTGCTGCTCCCCCATAAGTCTCACCCAGACCTGTACCCAGCTGTGATGTCTAGCAGTCACAGCCTGTTCTGTATGTGGCTCTGTCCACAGTTCCTGGGGTCTCTCTCCAGCTCCCTGCTGCCACGCAGCTCCCACCCACAGACAGCCTGGCCACTTCGTGCTTCAGGACCTTTCCCGTCCCTGGCCAAGGGTAGGCAAGTGCTATGGGGATGGGGCTAATGGGAACATAGTCCCTTCTTAGCCAGGAGGAAGGGGATGTACAGTGGGGAGGGAGCTGCAGTCCCCTGCTTTGCAGATCCATCACAAGTGCTTTACTGCACTCCAGTGAGGTTTTGACTAAGGTGACTGTATTTACAGAATCAAAAACCTCTGGGACACTTTAGGGGCAACATTTTCTAAGGTGGTGGAATGCTCGCTATAGCAATACGTTTGGAACCGACTTTCATAGCTAGAAAGAAAAAAAACTACAAAAGTTTGGACTGATGAAATGAAAGAACCAGGACATTTCAGGAGTTCCTGAAACACAAGGACTGTCCCCAAAACCAGGATATATGGAGACTTTAGTGGAAACTAATATGCCATCCCATTGATGCTCACATTGTATCTGTGCCCTGCGGCCTCCTTTAGTGACTAGAGTGTCGTTCTCGTTTTGGGAGTCTCCTACACCAGAAGCCAGGTACTTGCTGAGAGTAATTCCCATCTTAACCTTCTGCGTTTCCTGTTGTAACTTTGTGTTTTACAGACGGTTCCTATGAGAAGTCAATGGAAGAGGAGCCCCTGCAGTTAAACAGAGGTGTTGTACGTGATGTTTACATTTTAACAATCCAAGTGTCCCTTCTAAAATAAACCACATCGCCAATTCATGGAAATCCATGTTTCTGCAACACTTGCCCTTTAAGCTGTTCTTCTACCAAAACCCAAACCAAACCCCCAACAGTAACAACAACATTCACCCCAGGCAGAGACTTTATCCCAAAAAGGGAGACGTGTCAGAGACTCCATGAAATCCACTAGAGACTCCATGATGCTATTTATTTTACATGGAAGTTGCTCGGATACTGTGGAGATGGGTGGTAGGATACAATCCTGGAACCAACAGTGACCTTCACTCATCAGAAACGTCTGGAAGCCCTTTCTGAATGCAAAGGAGCATAGAGATGATGGCCCAGTTTTAGCTCTGCTCACCACTCCAGACCAATGGTCCATCTAGCTCTGTATCCTGTCTTCTGACCGTGGCCAGTGCCAGATGCTTTAGAGGGAATGAACAGAACAGGGCAATTATCGAGTGATCCATCCTCTATCGTCCACTCCCAACTTTTGGCTGTCAAAGGTTTAGGCTACCAAAGGTGTAGGGACACCCAGAGCATGGGGTTGTGTCCTTGCCCATCTTGGCTAATAGCTATCAATGGACCCATCCTCCAGGAACTTGTCAAATTCTTTTTAACCCAGTTATACTTTCAGTGTAACGTGGGAGCGGAGAGGTGTAAGTAGTTGCACACTTGGTTACTGGTAGGGCTGGGAATAGAAGCCAGGTCTCCTGACTCCCAGTTAAGTGCCTTACTCACTTTAAAGCGCTGCTGGCCACTGGCATAGTCACCGTAGCTCTGAGCAGGTTTAAATGATATGGTGGTTTAAATGCCAGAGGCAGTCGGAGCCTTGTCTACCTTGGTGCTGCCCCTGTTTTCAGTGGCACCAGGGTTAGCTGCAGAAAACAGCCAAGGGCAAACACAATCTAGTTCCCGGGCAGTGGCAGTAATTGCTTTTGCTCAGAATACTGGTGTCTCCCCTTTCCTTCGTATACATGTAGCCCATTCCCCAGCAGCATGGCAGCCAGAGCCTGAGCGGGATGGGAGCATGTTTTCCTGCTGCCTCGCTGGCTAGTCTTTGTAGCCACACTACTAGGGAGGAAAAAGTGAGCTCCTGGTTCCTTTAGGTTGATTCATGACTACGTTTCGAGTTGGATGACCAATGCCAGGTTTGCAGCATTCGGTCACTTATGGCTTCTTGTCCTTACTCTTTCCAAAGCCCTGTGGATGAAATGCCAGGACCACACCTCTCCAATCTATAAAACTCCAGAAATAGCCACAAGGAAATCCTTTGTGCTATGTGTCTTGTCCCATTTTTCTCTGGAATCCCAAAGCCAGGAGCAAGGTATTCCCATGCAGTGCAGGATTACCAGTCTTGAGAGAACATTGACTTTTCTGCTGGCCTACGGCCTATATTGACCTCGGGGCTAGGTGTGTGTGTGTGTGTTCCGGGATAAACATGGAATATGACCCATTGTCTAGGTTTAGAAGCCAAGAGTAGCTTTGCTAATGTCAGACATGGTATTTGACTTGACAGGTCCTGTGGGAGTGGGACTGAGTGGCAGGAATCGAGGAAGGGTAGCAAATTTCAACTCTACCATTATTGAGAGTGTTACGGTCACACTTAGAGGCCCCACCGAAGATCAGGGCCTTATTGTCCTGGGCGCTGTACGCACATAGTAAGAGAGAGTCCCTGCGCCAGAAAGCCTGCAATCAAAACAGATAAGACAGAAGGGGAAACAGAGGCACGGAGAAGTGAAATGATTTGCCCATGGCCACCCAGTGGCAGAGCCAGGAATAGCACCCAGGTCCCCTGATTTCTATCCATCTCAATGCACTCTCCGCTAGACTCTTTAGAGGCTAAGCATTTCCCCTTCACAGCCAATGTGCGCGTGACTTGGAGCTAAACTTTCCCATAAAGCGCCGCAGACAAAGCAGCCGAACTGCCTGGTCCTCAGTAGTATCCTTGTTTCCGGCCTTTCACAGAGACATTCTCAAGACCAGTGCTTGGGGGATCCGGTGAGCAAGAGATTGCTTGGCGAGACTGCTTCCGCTGTGATCAGTTCCTCGCTGGAGTTCATTCCCAGGGGCTTCAAGCCAAAAGGAGGCGGAGGTGGCACCACCGTCAAATTCATCTTGAAAGAAAAGCACAAGAAAGGTGACGGGCTGTTCGTTCCTGGGGGCGAGGTTTCTGTGTGTTCCCTGGGAAGAGGGCATGTGACCTCAGCTGGCTTCCGGAGCGCAGCAGAATCCAGTTAATTGGCAGCCACATAAATGGCAGACTGGGTGGTGTAGGGTGAGGGTGTCACGTCTGCCCAGGACGAGTCAGATTAAATGCCATGCCTGGGTGGTGAGCCCATCACATCTCTCATAAGGGGTCAGCTCATTACTGGTGGCCAGCTTGTGCCTCCCAGATGCATCTTCCATTCAGGGAACTACCTCTTTCCAGGCAAAAGGAGAGTTTCGGGGGAGGGTTAGCTTCTGTGGCCTCCTAGGACAGGGATCCTTTCAGTGGGGACGAACCGGTATGGGGCACAAGGTCCCTCCAGTCTCCCTAGAAAACCTGCAGAAACATTTACACAGCCTGGGCTGGGACTGTAGTAACTTTTCTGTGGAACTGCCCCTCGCGTTAGTGGCAGAAGTGGGCTAGTTCCTGTCAGCACAGCCCTGCTTGGGCATCCTTCTCCAGGGGAATCTCTGGGGATACTAGAAAGTGGGGTGAGGGAGTGAGACAACCCTTGCGGCCTCCTGGAACTGTGTGGGAAAACACGGGTAACTTGGTGGTGTTTTCCTTCTCCAGCTCCCTCCTGGGTATTTGTCTCTAGGAGGGGACATTCTGGCCCTTGGATGGGAGACCGCCAAGGAAGAGTCAGAGTCCACAGCAACTTGTGTGGCAATTCAGTAGGTAAAAAGAAAAGGAGGACTTGTGGCACCTTAGAGACTAACCAATTTATTTGAGCATAAGCTTTCGTGAGCTACAGCTCACTTCATTGGTTAGTCTCTAAGGTGCCACAAGTACTCCTTTTCTTTTTGCGAATACAGACTGACACGGCTGTTACTGTGAAGTCAGTAGGTGGCGCTCTTCCCTCGGAGTAGTGCTGAACAGATGCATGTTATTAAGGAGCCCAGCATTCTTCTTTCAGATACAGTCCTGACAACTCATGCTCATTAAAGATCTCAATGCACCTGGCCAAATTCCAACTCTTGTAGCTACATTCTGCTGCTTAAATCCCCCTTGCAGTTTCAATGGGCTCTCATTTTCATACTCACCTTCTGTCCTGAAGTATTCTGTGATATTGCTGCTGCCGTGTTGTGCCCCAGAGGGGGATGCATTGCAGTGGTGGGTGTTGCAATTCCTTTGACATAGTTTGCCTGTTAGTTTGGTAGTTTTGCAAAGTGCTTTGAGATCCATTAGGACGAAAGGCACCGTACAGAGGTACAATATGATTATTATTATTATTTATTGTTCCCCTTCTCTCTTTCTCTTTCAGCTTGCGTTTACAATGGGAAGACCTACTCCCATGGAGAAGTGTGGCATCCTGTCTTCCGACTGTATGGAGTCCTACCATGCATCCTATGTACCTGCACGGATGGGGTCCAGGACTGCCAGAAGGTTACATGTCCCAAGGAATATCCTTGTGAATATCCTGAGAAAGTAGAAGGGAAATGTTGTAAAGTATGTCCAGGTACGTGGGAGAACAGATAGACTATCCTCCCCAGCATTTGCTGCTCTCTCCTGGTGTTTTGACTTCATTTATTACTGGCTTCTCTTTCCTTTGGCTAGTTTTAATGCCCCGATCCTACCTATGCACTTGCCGAACTTTAAACAAGAGTAATCATGTGACTTCAGTGGAATAAGCACACGTATGTGTTAACAAAATTAGGGCCTTACTACGTACATGAACACATGGACTTTTGTGTCTCCTGATTGGCTTCTGGTCTTTTTGTGAAAGCTTTCTGGCTTGAATCATAGGGATTAGAGATGAAAAAGAACTGAGGCCACCTGATCCGCCCTCCCCCCCCTTCGAATGAAGGAGAGTTTCCTAAGTTATGTCCCTCTGTACTTCATTTAGCTTTACAAGTTTAAGCAAGGGAACTTCTCCCACTTCTGTAGGAGTCTACTTGGAACCAAGGAGCAGGAATTGCTGAGTGAAGTTGTATGTGCTGTGTTCTACAGGAAGTCAGATTAGATGATCACAGTGGTCCCTTCGGACCTTGAAATCTATGAATCTCACTGCTAGGAGCTTTTCCCCAGTGAACGTTTACCGCAACTTAAATACTTTGCCGCAGCCTAAATGATTCCTCCGAGGCCCTTCCATTACTCGTAGGCTGTTATCACATCCCTCCCACTTTATCACTGGTTAGCCATGTCATATGATTTTGGTATTGACTTCGGTGAGGAGAGGTTGGGAGCTAGGGTTCGTGGGTTCTAGTCCCAGCTCCGCCACTGATTCATTGTGTTGTCTGGGGGCAAGTCACATAATTATTCTGTGCCCTAGGCGCTCCCATTTGTAAAACCACGCTGTGCCTCAAAGGACTGGTTGGGAGGCTTGCTTACTTGTTGGGCAAAAGCTCTGAACGGCACAACAGGGGTGCAATTTGCTATCACTGGAATCAGTGCAGTACAGATGGTGATGCTATGCCTCCTCTATTGGGCCATCTTGGTGAGACATACACTGACTTTAGTGGGGGTTTTGCCTGCTTTAGGACTATGGAGGCCAGTGTTGGCAATGGTGGTGGAGGAGGGCAGGCTGGGTATACCCCTGTTAGCATCATGCTAAATCCAGACAGCTAGCTGAATGCTTATGGTATGGTCATTGCAAAACACCCCTCCGCTTTTCTCTCTCTGTCAGGATGACGATGTCATTTACATCAGTGTAAATCAGGAGGAACTCCACTGCCATGGAGGGAGATACACCAGTGTAGAACTGGTGTGAGAGCAGAATCAGACCCCATATTCTCACTCCTAAAATAAACTCCCTGTGTTTATTTATAACCAGACTTTCTCTGGAGTAGTGTGAAAAGCTTACCAGCCAAAAGGGCGAGAGAACAAGGCTAAATTCAGCGGTGGGAGGGAGCTCCTCTGAGTTCCAGGAACCTCAACCAAATGCAACAAACTGGCTTCCAAATATGAAAGCGAATTCTTAATTACTGCAGAAGCCAAAAATTGACGACGCACGTTCGCTTGGGAGTGTTAAAAATTGCCCAAGGTTGTAAATATCCCTCCAGCCACCACCCTCCCAACTGACAAGGCAGACCAAATTCAGAGGTGACATGTAAGGGAGAGTGGGTGACACCTCAATAAGTAGGTGTGAGTGAATATAAAGGGGGCTGATTCTGATCTCACTTATACCTGGGGCCTGATCCTGGAGCTACACTGATACTGTCATAAATATAAAGGGAAGGGTAAACTCCTTTGAAATCCCTCCTGGCCAGTGGAAAGCTCCTCTCACCTGTAAAGGGTTAAGAAGCTAAAAGGTAACCTCGCTGGCACCTGACCAAAATGACCAATGAGGAGACAAAATACTTTCAAAAGCTGGGAGGAGGGAGAGAAACAAAGGGTCTGTGTGTCTGTCTATATTCTGTCTTTGCCGGGGATAGACCAGGAATGGAGTCTTAGAACTTTTAGCAAGTAATCTAGCTAGGCATCTGTTAGATTATGATTTCTTTAAATGGCTGAGAAAAGAACTGTGCTGAATAGAATAACTATTTCTGTCTGTGTATCTTTTTTGTAACTTAAGGTTTTGCCTAGAGGGGTTCTCTATGTTTTGAATCTAATTACCCTGTAAGGTATCTACCATCCTGATTTTACAGGGGGGATTTCTTTATTTCTATTTACTTCTATTTTTATTAAAAGTCTTCTTGTAAGAAAACTGAATGCTTTTTCATTGTTCTCAGATCCAAGGGTTTGGGTCTGTGGTCACCTATGCAAATTGGTGAGGCTTTTTATCCAACATTTCCCAGGAAAGGGGGGGTGTAAGTGTTAGGAGGATTGTTCATTGTTCTTAAGATCCAAGGGTCTAGGTCTGTAGTCACCTCGGCAAATTGGTGAGGCTTTTTACCAAACCTTGTCCAGGAAGTGGGGTGCAAGGTTTTGGGAAGTATTTTGGGGGGAAAGACGTGTCCAAACAGCTCTTCCCCAGTAACCAGTATTAGTTTGGTGGTGGTAGCGGCCAATCCAAGGACAAAGGGTGGAATATTTTGTACCTTGGGGGAGTTTTGACCTAAGCTGGTAAAGATAAGCTTAGGAGGTTTTTCATGCAGGTCCCCACATCTGTACCCTAGCGTTCAGAGTGGTGGAGGAACCTTGACAGATACGCACCAGCCAAAGGTCTAGCCCCTGCTTTACTTTGGGGCCATCCCATTGGTTTAATTGAAACTATTCCTGATTGGCTGGGGAAAGTGAGCTCACAAACCGGTCCAGTGAGTCTGAACTAGTGTAAATGACCTGCCAATGGGCCAGAAGAGAGGGTGCAGCTGGAAAAGTCCCTACCAGGCAGGTGTCGGGAGGTGCCAATTCAGAATAGCTATGCCCAGGCTAGATTCCCCTCTCAGATACAACTATTTAAATCAGGAGTCACCCCACTAAAGTCAATGGAGTTACCTGTGTAAAGCCAGTGTAAGAAGCCCAGGGGAGGATCTACTTTAATATACATCTTCTGACACCTTCCTCTCATTCACTGCTCAGGACAGGAAGATTTGCTTTGTTTTCCTGGAGCCCATGCCCAAAAAGCATGAGTTGCCCCAATAATAACACTGTACAGAGCACTTAGAATCATAGACTATCAGGGTTGGAAGGGACCTCAGGAGGTCATCTAGTCCAACCCCCTGCTCAAAAGCAGAACCGATCCCCAATTAAATCATCCCAGCCCGGGCTTTGTCAAGCCTGACCTTAAAAACCTCTAAGGAAGGAGATTCCACCACCTCCCTAGGCAACGCATTCCAGTGTTTCACCACCCTCCTAGTGAAAAAGTTTTTCCTAATATCCAACCTAAACCTCCCCCACTGCAACTTGAGACCATTACTCCTTGTCCTGTCCTCTTCCACCACTGAGAATAGTCTAGAACCATCCTCTCTGGAACTACCTCTCAGGTAGTTGAAAGCAGCTATCAAATCCCCCCTCATTCTTCTCTTCTGCAGACTAAACAATCCCAGTTCCCCCAGCCTCTCCTCATAAGTCATGTGTTCCAGACCCCTAATCATTTTTGTTGCCCTTCGCTGGACTCTCTCCAATTTATCCATATCCTTCTTGTAGTGTGGGGCCCAAAACTGGACACAGTACTCCAGATGAGGCCTCACCAATGTCGAATAGAGGGGGAACGATCACATCCCTCGATCTGCTCGCTATGCCCCTACTTATACATCCCAAAATGCCATTGGCCTTCTTGGCAACAAGGGCACACTGCTGACTCATATCCAGCTTCTCGTCCACTGTCACCCCTAGGTCCTTTTCCGCAGAACTGCTGCCTAGCCATTCGGTCCCTAGTCTGTAGCTGTGCATTGGGTTCTTCCGTCCTAAGTGCAGGACCCTGCACTTATCCTTATTGAACCTCATCAGATTTCTTTTGGCCCAATCCTCCAATTTGTCTAGGTCCTTCTGTATCCTATCCCTGCCCTCCAGCGTATCTACCACTCCTCCCAGTTTAGTATCATCCGCAAATTTGCTGAGAGTGCAATCCACACCATCCTCCAGATCATTTATGAAGATATTGAACAAAACCGGCCCCAGGACCGACCCTCTGGGGCACTCCACTTGATACTGGCTGCCAACTAGACATGGAGCCATTGATCACTACCCGTTGAGCCCGACAATCTAGCCAACTTTCTACCCACCTTATAGGCCATTCTTCCAGCCCATACTTCCTTAACTTGCTGACAAGAATCCTGTGGGAGACCGTGTCAAAAGCTTTGTCTTCTAGAGTCTCAGTGCCCCTCTCCCTTCCCTGGCAGGGAGGGCCAGCAGATGACCTGCAGATGGGGACTGATCAGGCCAATGTGTTACATACACCTCCAAATGAAAGGGCCAGAGCCCCAGCTAGTGTAGACCAACATAGCTTTGCTGCTTTCAACGGAGCTGTGCAGATCTACAGCAGCTGAGGATCTGACCCAAAGATTGGTAAATCATCCCCCAAATTCCAGAGTGTTCAGATCCAGGGATTGGGTTTGAGCCCTACTTTATCCCCACTAAAGTCAATGAGGGTAGGTCGATGCAGCATTTTAGAGCAAGCCTCCCAGCTTGGGTTGACAGACTTGGGTGAGTGGGGCTTGTGCTCATGTGCTAAAAACAGCGGTGTAGACAAACTGTGTAGACAGCACTTGGAAGTTGCAGCTCGGGTTCTGAAGCACACCCCCCCCGGATATACCCTAAGAGACCCTTATGGGTAGGGAGAGCGAATCAAGTTGAGCTCCACCGACAGGATCTGAGATAAGAATTTTGCTCCGTTTTGTTTTGGGCAGGTTTTCAGTTTGCTGCTATTTGACCCCTACCACTTTCTGTGTACAACACAGAGGCTGTGAATTGGAAAAATAATGGTTTTTAACAATCCACATGGCAAATAACAGAGAACTTAAAAAAAATCTACCTTCACGATTGCTAACGCTAGGGTACGTCACTATCTCAGCATTCAATAGCAATACTGTCATGGTCTCCGTCTTTCTTACAGAAAACTCAATGGTCTCCTTTTAAAACTCATCATGATATTCGGTGCTCCTTATTTTCAGATAAGTGCCTTAAGACTCAATTATACTACAGTCAGAGGTGTGATTGGAGCTTGGGTAGGCATACCCATGCTAGTTTTGCTCTAGCTAGCGTGGCTAAAATTAGCAGTGAAGACACAGGCATGGATCCTGGCATGGACTAGGCATGCGAGGACATGCTCAGGGTTCTGGGTGGGCTTGGACAGCCCACACTGAAGCCTGTGGTGTTGCGTCTTCACAGCTATCGGTACGCATGCTAACTAGATCAAAGCTAGCTCAGGTATGTCTACCTGAGCTGTAATCACACCGCTGATTGCAGTGTGGACTTGCTCTGAGTCCTAGTCTACATTCTTTGCGCCACTCTTATTGGCTACAGAGCTGCGAAATAACTAATGCTGACTTTGTTTGTGTTTAGATGCCAAAGTCAAGCCGACTGATGAAATAAATACCCCCAGATGTGCCCAGAATCTGAACAGGGTATTGGTCTACATGTTTGTGCCACCCGGTTCCGAGAGCCCACAGGAAAACCTGAGAAAAATTGCAATCGAGAAAGACTCTTCTGAAGAGGTGGAAATTTACAGCTGGAAACTGGTAAAAGGTGAATCTGGTGAATGAAACCAGCAAATAATTTTTAAGGGTTATTTGAAGGGTCATTGGCTATACCTGTTTAGTCTCCTCTCCAGCTTTGGCAGGAGAATCATGTTTTTGGCTTCTTTCAGCAATGCTCCTACCTAGGTAATCTCAGTCTGCTGATTTGGAGACATCTCCATGGTTAACATTGATTGTAGGTAGATGTGTCTAATAACCCCATTGTAAGACAGACCTGATGCACAGTAGTTGAGTAAACCAGTCTGGATAAAATCTGACCCTCCTTCAACCACTGCCCTTGAATTCACACCAAACCCAAGGTGAACTCTTTCTGACATTCAGAAGAGTTCCATTTATTCCTTTTCATTTTTGCCTGATCCGTGTCTTCTCCATCTTCCACCCCACACTGAAAGAGCAAAGATTGCAATACTGCAATAAAACACTTCTCATGGTATACTGACTCAACAGGAAACAGCAAACACTGGAAATCAACATCACACAACATGTCCAGTTCTCCAGACTCGATGGATTTGGATCCAAACTTCTGAATACAGATCTGACCCAAAGCTCTCAATTTTTGAGGTTGAAGTACAGCTAATAAGCAGTAAAATGAGAGGAGACCTCAGATTAAACACTATACATATAGTATGGTACCATGCAGTTTCCTCAGCTGGTTAAGTCAGCGTCACTCCACTGACTTCAAATGATCTACACCAATTTACAATAGAAGAGGACTCAAAGTCCCCTTTTCAGTCCTACATCCTATGTTCCTATTGACACTGGATCTGTTAGCCACTATCCACTGCCCATTGTAATTCAGATTCTTGATTTAGTAGATGATTGCTCTGTGGGTCACCCATAATAAACTGGAGTGGGCTAGAAGGCTCTGGGTGCTTGAAAATAGAGGGTATTATTATATCAGAAGATCTCCATTTCAGTTGTTCCTTATGGTTCACTAAGCCCATATTCTATCCATACCCATAAACGCCTTCTTTCTTTCACTGGCCAGGTTCTTCTTCCTCAGGTGACCTCTATAATATATAATATAATATGAAGGCTGTACCTATCTAGATTTTAATAAGGACATCCATCACCATGGTATCTGAGCTCCTTCACTGGAGTACCCATCCTTCCTAGGCCTGGCTCTGTCTCCAGCCAGGGCTGCTGAGATTCACAGGCACTGAAGGACTGTCACAGTCTGAGACATTGACTCAGGATATCGGGCCAAGTTCATTAGCAGACACTGGCTGCTCATCATTGGTTGGCAGGGGTCATTACCAAAACAGTGCATGGTGTGGTCTTCCCACCTACCAAGGCCAAATGCTTAATGCCTCCAGGGAGCTTCCAGCCCTGCCAGCCAAGACAGGGAAAGCCCTCATCCAAGAGCCCAGCTCTGCTCTTTTGCTTGGCAGCACAGAGTGTTACTGCTGGGAGACTGTGTGAGCACAGTCACGTATGGATTCCACCACAGCACTGTATTTCACTTGAGTAACAGAAGAAGACTTGTGGGTGGAGGGAGGCTGGGAGCAGACCACTGGAGTTCATCCACCTCGCTATTGTGTGTGACCTATAGTATTTCTCACCCCTAAGCGGCATTATCTATTCCTGCTTTGGTACAGGCTGTGTCTATACATCACTTCAATGATAATAGTACAGGGCCTGATTCTGGGCCTGTGGAAATCAGTGCAAACTTTGCCATTGATTTCAGAGGGCGCAAGAGGACACTCTTCATGTGTTTCATCTGAGGATCTCAAAGCACTCTGTAAATATAGAATCACAGAACTGTGGGGCTGGAAGGGAACTCCAGAGGTCATCTAATCCAGCCCCCGGTGCTGAGGATTAAGTACACCTAGACCTAACATCATCTTAATTTAGTAAGCGTGGCAACACCCTTGTGAAGCAGGCAGGTGCTGTTATTTCCTAAGGCATTATAAAGCACTGACATTGCTTTTTAAATCTGTTTCTATGCACTGGGGTGGGGCTTAGAGCTGGGGGCAGAGAACAGGAAGAAGTGGGCTTTGAGGAGACCTTCTCTTAGCCCCCTGCCGCCATTGCTGTCACTCCATAGCCGGACTCCTGGGGAGCAGATAGATGAGCTGAGCCCCGTAGTCATGTCACAGGGTGGCATGCACATACTGGCTTTTTCTGTCCCTGTCTCTTTTTATTCAGGCTGTTGATAAGACAGTTTTACGGAGCATTTTAGCAGATTTCTCTGTCTCCCCCCCTCTCTCTCTCTCACGCACGTATGCTGCTGTCAGGACTGTGTGGCACTCTCTATAGACACACACTCGGAGCTGTGTCAGTTCACAAACAGACACGCACATGGTTTTCTCACATGGCTAGGGCTGTTGCCTTTGCCCATGAATGAAGGAGAAAAGCAGCAGCAGCAAGGATCCCCTCAGGAAACTGAGCTCCTTAAGAGGACAGGACATCTGTCTCTCTCCACCTATCTGCTAACCCTGCTGGATCCTCTTAGCCCCTCAGACAGAAGACTTCTTCTCTGTGAAGCCCCTCTGGGTCCTTCTGAAATGGATGCTCCAGTGTGATCCATAATCTACTCTGATCTTTTATAGCTAAGGAAGTTCAATGTTTTCTAGTCATCTAACTAAGGTACTTACATGGCCCCCATCACCAGAGTATCCGAGCAGCTTCAAACTCCCAACTGTGAGGTAGGGCAGGGCTGTTATCCCCATTCTCCAGATGGGGACCTGAGGCCCAGAGTGGCTAGGTGACTTGCCCAGGGTCATATGGGATGTTTGTGTCAGAAGAGGAATCAAACACAGGTGTCCCACAGCCCAGGTGAGCACCCTATTCACTGGACCATACTTCATCAAGTCATTAATTAAGCCTCTAAGCACTCCGGTGAGGGAAGTATATCCATTTTACAGAGAACGCACTGAGGCTGCCCAAAGCCACAGATCAATTCAGAGGCAGAGCCAGAGCCAGAACCAGAAATGGAGCCCAAGAGTCAGGGCTAAGGCTGGGTGACTTTTTATTTTGGCTAATAGTAAACTCACCAGAAAATGCATTTCTCTGGGCGCTGAAACTATTTGTGAATTTAGGTCAAATTCGGCAAGTAGCTTCGACTGAAAAAAACTGAAAACAAGAATTTTGGAAATGCCCAAAACGGTGATCTGAAATGACATTTTTAAAATGTTTCATTCGACCAGAAGGAAATGTTTTCAGGTTTTTTATTTCATTGAGAAGAACTGAAAAAAAACCCCAAGACCTCAATTTGGATTTGAAATTAACCGTTTTTTTCTTCGATTTTTCAATTTGGCCACTAAATCGAAAAATCAAACATGATTCCCTCAGTTCTAGTCATGCCTTTGAGTCTTCTGCTTCAACCACTAGCTGACACTTCCTCTCACATACCAGACCAGTGGAGACAGAGGTTGCCCTTGGCTGAAGAGAGGCTAAGTGAGAGGGTGAAGAAGGATGTTCCAGGCATACCTGGCATGTTTGTCAGTAGTTCACTACTTAAGATGAATGTTATAATACCTAATCCATCTTAAAGGTCATTTCCATTGCTAAATACATGTTCTGGTTTTCTTGAATTAAACAATTGACTCAAACGCCCCCGCTCGCAGTCTGACTCTGGCACAAAAGAAGCATAACTCTATGTAGAAATATTTTTATATTTCCTAGTCAAGCTACATTGCTAAACTGGGGGATTAAAAGAAGTGTTGGCTGCTGAATGCCTAGAAAAATGAAATATGGATCAGCACCAGCCAATGCCATGGACACGGGAACGAGGGGCTCTGAAAGGAGGGGTGCGGAGATGAGGCTGGAGGTGTTTGTCAGGAGGGCCATGAGAGAGAGGGTCCTGTTGTCATATTGTTATTGTCTGTGTTATGGTAGTAGCTAGAGGCCCCAGCTGAGATCAGGCGCTAGGTGCTGTACAGCACAATGGGGCCTGGGCCTTGGCCTTGGCTGCGGTCTCCAAGTGCTACTGTTATTAGTTATTCCTATTATTACAGAGATATTTTGAAATCATGATAACTCAATGGAAGGGTTTTTGTACCTTCCTCTGAAGTATCTGGTATTGCGATTCTCGGAGACAGGACTAGATAATGGGGTGCGAGGCATTACAGAGGGATCTCTCCAAACCGGGTGACTGGGCAACAAAGTGGCAGATGAAAGGCAATGTTGATACGTGCAAAGTTAGGCACATTGGAACAAATAATGCCAACTATACGTATACAACGATGGGTTCTACACCAGCTGTTACCATCCCAGAAAGAGATCTTGGAGTCACTGTAGATAGTTCTCTAAAAACTTCTGCTCAGTGCGCAGCAGCAGTCAAAAAGGCGAACAGACTGTTAGGGACTACTGGGAAAGGGATAGATAATAAACCAGTAAATACTGTAATGCCGCGATATAAATCCATGGTGCGCCCACTTCTTGAATACTGCTGCAGTTCTGGTCGCCCCATCTCAAAAAGGAGATAGTGGAACTGGAAAAGGTTCAGAGAAGGGCAAGAGAGATGATCAAGAGTATGGAACGGCTTCCATATGAGGAGAGACAAAAAAGATTAGGGGTGTTCGGCTTAGACAAGAGAGGACTAAGGGGGGGGATCTGATAGAGGTCGATAAAATCAAGACTGGTGTGGAAAAAGTCAATAGGAAAGGTTTATTTACTTTTTCCCACAATACAAAAACCAGGGACCACTTGATGAAATTAATAGGCTGCAGGTTTAATACAAACAAGAGGAAGTACTTTTTCATACAATGCACAACTAACCTGTGGAACTCATTGCCATGGGATGTTGTGAAGGCCAGATGTATACCTGGGTTCAAAAAAGAACTGGATAAGTTCATGGGGACAATGGCTGCTAGCCAAGATGGTCAGATGTGCAACCCCATGGTTGCGCTAACCCTAAACCTCTGACTACCAGAAGTCAGGGGTAGAAGACAGCAGTAGATCTTTCCATAACTGCTCTGTTCTGTACATTCCCCTTGAAGCTCTGGTAAAGGCCACTGTTGGAGACAGAATACTTGGGGAGATGGACCATGGTCTGACCCCATATGGCAACTCTTGGCTTTTTATTAGATGGACTACAGGTCTGATCCAGTCTGGTGCTTCCACTGTTCCTATGCTTTTATCTTTCTAATTAGCTAACGAAAGAGAAGGTTTTTTTCCTTGGTGGTGGTGGGGTTGTTCTGTTTTAAAATGGAGCTAAGATCGAACTAGCTGTAAAATGTTCATGCCGATCATCTCTGTCCCCAGGAATATTTCATTTGATACAGGTCAAGAAGATCAGGAAAGAGGAGTTCAACCCAGAAGCGCAGAACTTTAGGCTGGTCACCAGAACAAATGAAGGTACAAATAAAGGGTAAATCTTTACTTCTGTAACCTCCTGGCAAGAGCAGACTGGGTTCATTAGCCATCCCATAAAGACCTTTTGTACCCCCCTGAGCAAAGAGGGGGAATGAAATGTGGTGCGAGCAACCTGACTTGTCTATGCTTAACAAGGGGCACAGACTAAATGTCTTTAAACATGCCCAGTCTGCTCTGTTACCAGTCACTCTTTCACTTTATGACGTTTGGAAAGACCAGCCAAATTCCTTAAAGTGGACACGCGATTACGCAACCCAAAGGTCACATCTCTCCAAAGTCCGTAAAACTGTTTGATTTTTATATCTAATCCATCTGGCATTACCGGAAAAAGTGATGCAATGGCTTTGAAAAAAATCTCCCCAAAATATTGAAACTCTCCTTCGTGTTCCTGGAAGTGTGTAAATGTTGTAATAATTTGGCATCACCAGGCCACATAGTGACAGAGTGGTTGTGGCAGGCTTGAGCTGCGTAGTCATTCACCGCTTGGCCCATGCCAAGACTGATCGTCTGATAGCTGCTCAGCAGCCTGTGTAACATGAAAGTGAGGGTCTCAGCTCAGTGGAGCCGTGGCAGAGAATCATAGAAACGTAGGGCTGGAAGGGACGTGAGTCCAGCCAGGAGTGGAGGGAGCTTCCTAAAAGTGGCCACCGGCGCCCGAACCATGGCCCTGCCCCCTAAGGCTCTGCCCTCACACCATCCCTTCCCCCCAAGACCCCACCCCCTGCTTTCTCATCTCTGGCCCCCTGTTGCTCGCCCTTACGGCCAGTGAAAAGTGGTGGGGCTGTGGCCCCCTGGTCCCCCCGTTCCAGTGCCTTGCTTTGTGGCAGGACCTAGTAAACCTAGACAGTCCCTGACAGCTGTTTGTCCAACTGTAGCGAGGCGCAGCTGGGCCCCTCTAGCTTCTGCCCCGCTGCCCTCACAAACCAGTCAGGGACGCCTCGGGTTGATGCAGTCGCCAGTGTATTTTATTTATATCTATTTCCCACCACCACCTTACTATCTATATACAGGATTTTACAGCCAAGGTTCACAAGCAGCAGACCAGAGCCACCAGTCCCTCTCAGCCTCTGCCTCCCTCCCTCCCAGCCTTTATAACCCCAGCTACTTAGGTTGGCAGGTGTTTCTAGTTGCCAAGCAGGCAGGGCTATTCAGCCAGTCCCGATCCATTCCCCTTGATTGGGGCTGGCGTGGCAGGGGCTGATTAAGCACTTTGTGCCCAGCACCCTGTCACACCAACCTGATCTTAAAAACCTCCAGACTTCAGAGGGTTTTGAAGCAGGGTTGTGTGGGATTACTTGCCATCTGTTTGGTGGCTAACTAGAGGACTTTAGTCTCTGAGGCCATCAGTCCATGGTTCCCTCCTGGTCATTTCACGTATCCAGGTAGAGTTCCCCTAGGCAGCGTCGACTGACTCCATGAACTCCATTGCAGAGCGTGATGCTGTCGGGAGAGCTCGTTTTAAACCTTTGATCCTTGCTCCTGTCCCTGATTTTTATTCTTTGTCTCCTGTGCGCGCTTAAATCCTGGGTTATCTGGCCCATCCCTCACCTGAGGAGACAGGGTCTTTTGTTGCTCTGGTGAGCTCTGCTCACAGTCTCTGGATTTAAATAGACTGGCACCTTTTGTGAGCACTCACATTCTTGAGTCATGCATAATGCACCATTGTTTAAAGTCACGCACAGTGTACATTTCAAGAACAAAAATTAATTGGGCTGCAAAATGTCCAAGGCAGACATGCCTAAAATAACTGTTTAAAATTCCTTTTGTTCATCCTTATTTCGCCCACACAAGGATTAACACCATGTCATTGTAATCCTGTTTTTCCCGATGAAGCTTCCGATGACCTAAACACCCTGCTTTCTGCAATTTCACAAGTGCACTGCTTCGAAAGGGACTGTGGTGTGAAAAAATAGCAATGTTGTGAAATCACCAATTACAGTTACCGAGGTTTCTAGGAAAGCCTTGGCCAGCAATTGTCCAGTGACAGGAGACTAATTCAGCTAGAAAATATTCCTCCCGGAGATGACAGCATTAGGGATACACAATCCTTCCTGGGATTAAAGGTGCTGAGATCAGCTACTGGGAGAATAAGGAAGGGTTCAAAGTACTGTATAGAATATTGGAATCAGAAACTTACTAGCAATACAAAAGACAGCTTCCCCAGCATCTTCCGTGGCTGATTTTCAGATGGGTGTACAACAATTATTGTAAAAAGAAAAGGAGTACTTGTGGCACCTTAGAGACTAACCAATTTATTTGAGCATAATCTTTCGTGAGCTACAGCTCACTTCATCGGATGCATACTGTGGAAAGTGTAGAAGATCTTTTTATATACACACAAAGCATGAAAAAATACCTCCTCCCACCCCACTCTCCTGCTGGTAATAGCTTATCTAAAGTGACCACTCTCCTTACAATGTGTATGATAATCAAGGTGGGCCATTTCCAGCACAAATCCAGGGTTTAACAAGAACGTCGGGGGGGGGGGGGGGGTAGGAAAAAACAAGGGGAAATAGGTTACCTTGTGCTATATTGATGACATCTTCATCATCTGGACCCATGGAAAAGAAGCCCTTGAGGAATTCCACCATGATTTCAACAATTTCCATCCCACCATCAACCTCAGCCTGGACCAGTCCACACAAGAGATCCACTTCCTGAACACTACAGTGCTAATAAACAATGGTCACATAAACACCACCTTATACCGGAAACCTACTGACCGCTATTCCTACCTGCATGCCTCCAGCTTTCACCCTGACCACACCACACGATCCATCGTCTACAGCCAAGCTCTGCGATACAACCGCATTTGCTCCAACCCCTCAGACAGAGACAGACACCTACAAGGTCTCTATCAAGCATTCTTACAACTACAATACCCACCTGCAGAAGTAAAGAAACAGATTGATAGAGCCAGAAGAGTTCCCAGAAGTCACCTACTACAGGACAGGCCTAACAAAGAAAATAACAGAACGCCACTAGCCGTCACCTTCAGCCCCCAACTAAAACCCCTCTAACGCATTATTAAGGATCTACAACCTATCCTGAAGGATGACCCATCACTCTCACAAATCTTGGGAGACAGGCCAGTCCTTGCCTACAGACAGCCCCCCAGCCTGAAGCAAATACTCACCAGCAACCACATACCACACAACAGGACCACTAACCCAGGAACCTATCCTTGCAACAAAGCCGGTTGCCAACTGTGCCCACATATTTATTCAGGGGACACCATCACAGGGCCTAATAACATCAGCCACACTATCAGAGGCTTGTTCACCTGCACATCCACCAATGTGATATATGCCATCATGTGCCAGCAATGTCCCTCTGTCATGTACCTTGGTCAAACTGGACAGTCTCTGCGTAAAAGAATAAATGGACACAGATCAGATGTCAAGAATTATAACATTCATAAACCAGTCGGAGAACACTTCAATCTCTCTGGTCATGCGATTACAGACATGAAAGTTGTGATATTACAACAAAAAAACTTCAAATCCAGACTCCAGTGAGAAACTGTTGAATTGGAATTCATTTGCAAATTGGATACAATTAACTTAGGCTTGAATAGAGACTGGGAGTGGCTAAGTCATTATGCAAGGTAACCTATTTCCCCTTGTTTTTTCCTACCCGCCCTCCTCCTCAGGATTTGTGCTGGAAATGGCCCACCTTGATTATCATACACATTATAAGGAGAGTGGTCACTTTAGATAAGCTATTGCCAGCAGGAGAGTGGGTTTGTGTGTGTGGTGGGAGGGGGGGGGTGAGAAAACCTGGATTTGTGCTGGAAATGGCCCAACTTGATTATCATACACATTGTAAGGCGAGTGATCACTTTAGATAAGCTATTACCAGCAGGAGAGTGGGGTGGGAGGAGGTATTTTTTCATGCTTTGAGTGTATATAAAAAGATCTTCTGTACTTTCCATAGTATGCATCCGATGAAGTGAGCTGTAGCTCACGAAAGATTATGCTCAAATAAATTGGTTAGTCTCTAAGGTGCCACAAGTACTCCTTTTCTTTTTGCGAATACAGACTAACACAGCTGTTACTCTGAAACCAACAATTATTGTGATATTTAACAGTAAAATAAATCTGAACTAATATACAACAGCACTTATTTGTTATAGTGTGTCCCCTAGCCATCTGAAATATATATATAAGGCCCCTTTACCATAGCCTCTGAGCACCTCACAATTTGTAATGTATTTATTCCCTTAGCACACTTGTGAGGTAGGGATGTTTTATTATCCCCATTTTACAGATGAAGGAGTAAGGCACACAGAGACTAAATGACTTACCCTAGGTTATACCGAAAGTCTATGGCAGTACTGGAAGTTGAACCCAGCGATTTCGGATGTCGGCCTACTGTCCTACCCACTGGACCATCCTTACTCTCTGACTCAGCTGACACTCTGTATGAGTTTAATGACAATAAGAGCTAGGCAAATACTTAAAAATATTTTCCACTTGAATATTTAATCTAAGGTCCTTCCCAGTCCTTTGTACAGCCGCCAAGGTTTTACTAGCAAGAGTGTTTGCCGAAAAGGAATTTTAAATTTGTAATCCAGAAATCTAGAAGAAAAGGAATTACACTTAGCCAATAAGAGGCCAGAGAAAAAACCCATCACAGGGGGGTTATGACCAGTCACAGCAAGGTTGTGGTTTGTGACCAATCACAACGAGGTAACAGAATGTGAATTTCAGATTTCCAATGATGAGCTGGAGAATTAACAAATTTCACCCCCAAAATGTGTTGAATCGGTTTTAACAATGAATACATCTGAGAAAAATGTGATACTTTCTTGGATGCTCCATGAACACAAAAAGAAGTGCAATTCTTCCAAAACCCACACAATACGAATGATTAGTACTTAACTAATACGATTAATACTTAACACTTCTATCACTTACCATATTGAAAGTGCTGTACGAAGGTAAAGGGCCAGATCTTGAGCTGGTGTAAACTGCCTTCACCAGCTGAGGATCTGGCCCTAACTAATTAAACTGCCCAGTACTTTTCGGAGGTAGATGAGGATTATTCAATCCCCATTTCACAGATTGAGAAACCTTGTAAATTGGGCGATTTGCCAGAGATTACACCAGAAATCTTGGGCAGATTGAAACCACATCTCCTGACACCCACACGCTATTTTGCGTAGCTGTATTATAGTAGTGCATAGAGGCCCCCACTGACATCATGGCTCCATTATACATGCATGGTAAGAGACAGTCCCTGCCCCTAAGAGTTTATAGTCTAGATAGACAAACCAGAACTAAGAGGGCGAGGAGAAAGAGGCACTGACATGTGAACTGACTTGACCAAGGTCACACAGCAAATCAGTGGCAGAGCCAAGAATAGCATTCAAGTCTTCTGAGTTCCAGAACAGTACCCTAGCGCCACACTGCCTCAAATCTGCCCTTCCTCCCAAGGATCATGGAATAGGTTGGAGGAAGGTGGACGATTTTAAACTGGAATGACCGGAAGCCGCTGGAGTATGGGTATGGGGGGGATGTGATTGTTTCGTATTGTGGGTGTATTTCTGGGAAGCAGCTTGCTATATATGCTTGATTCTAGAGAGTGGGGATCTAGGGGGCCCAGAGTGGGAGGAATCTGTGCATAGCAGTTTATTTCCATGACAATCATGCATCGCCTCCATCGCTATTCAGGTTGAAAACAGGAAGAAAACGGTAATGACATAAGGACCCCTGGGGTGCTGGTTTTCTCTCAATTTCCTTCCTTATCTAACCCCAACACTAACCCTAATCCTAAACCTTTCACTGTAGCTTTTGGGCAGGGGGGCTAAGGTCTTTTTCTATTTTGGGTTTGCGGTTCCAACTGAAAATCATAATGGAAAACTGATGTGGAAAGCCCCTAAAATCACCCCTGCAGGGATGGTTTCAGCATCTCCCCCCTGCGTTTGAAATCCCCATGCTCTGTGGAATCCCAAAATGGAGTCAGGGTTGATGGGGCACTACGCTAATGCGAATAAATAAAAACTAACGATAATGTAAGTTCACTATTGGCAGGTCTCTCTGGTGAGATCTTACAGACGTAAACATCCTCGATGTAGCATGGATTGTAAAGACCCCAGAGCACAGATTAGGAGTTTAGCTCTCATCTTCCTTAGCCACCTTTCTCCCAACGTAGTTTTCTGAATGCTACCCTCTGCCCTGTGGACGGCTGAGTTTCAGAGGTGATGTGATCCATGGAGATATTTGTCTTTACTCAGACACCACTCCCCTTGTGCCTGAGCACAAACTGCAGGATCAAGTCCATAACTTCATCGATTTTAAGGCCAGCAGGGATCACTCTAGTCTGACCTCCTGCTCAAAACAGGCAACAGAATTTCACTCTGCAGTGGAAGGAACTATTCTTCTATAACCGAATCCTTTGCAAAGTCCTCTCCTTTAGGATCTTTCAGGATGGAAGGTGCGACATTAATGGTCTCATTGTTTCACTGCTAGGGCCCTACCAAATTCACAGTCCATTTTGGTCAATTTCATGATCATAGGATTTAAAAAATAATAAATTTCATGATTTCAGCTATTTAAATCTGAAATTTCGTGGTGTTGTAATTGTAGGGGTCCTGACCCAAAAAGGAGTTGGGGGGGGGGTGTCACAAGATTATTGTAGGGGGGTTGCGGCCCTGCTAGCCTTTACTTCTGCACTGCTGCTGGCAGGGTGCTGCCTTCAGAGCTGGGCTCCCGCCCAACAGCTGCTGCTCTCCAGCCACCCAGCTCTGAAGGCAGAGCAGAAGTAAGGGTGGCAATACCACAATCCCCCCAGAATAAACCTTGTGACCCCCCTGCAACTCCCTTTTGGGTCAGGACCCCCAATTTGAGAAACTCTGGCCTCCCCTGTGAAATCTGTATAGTATAGGGTAAAAGACTAGATTTCATGGGGAGGAGATGAGACTTCACAGTCTGTGATGCGTTTTTCATGGCTGTGAATTTGGTAGGGCCCTATTCATTGTACTCCCCCATCTGTCTCTTGTCTTATACTTAGACTGTAAGTATAAGATAATACTCTCTTTTTGTTCTGGGTTTGTACAGCACCTAGCACATGGGGTCCTGGTCCATATCTAGGGATCCTGGGGCCATGATAATACAAATAATAATTATTTATTAGTATTACATTCCCAATAGGGCAAGTTTCAGAGAGTCATCTGTAGTGAATATCCATCTGTCTTCTCTTCTCATATAGGTCACTGGAACAACTTCAGAGCCCAAACATCAGGGCTTAAGATGACAGAGAGTCCAGAGAAAGAAACAAAGAACTTGTAAAAAAAAACACAAACAAATATATATATATGAAAAAGTTGCATTATTAAATAAACTCGCACAGCAATAAAAGGAAAAAAAGACGGATGTAAACTAAAAACTCAAGCAATCAAACCAACGACGACAACAGATCTGAGTCTGAAACACGGCTACAACCATGGATGTGACACCCTTTGGAATGTTCCCAGAGATGGGTTGGGGGACTCAACCCCTTGTCTCCTGCTCGTCAACGATTTCAGGTGTGCCAAAAAAGGAGGAGAAGACAGGAGTGGTGCACTGTGAAGAGAGAAAATACGGGCTCTGGTTCCCACCTGTTTTGTATCTCTAGCCAGTATCATGGGCTACCAGTGAAACAGTACAGGAGTCTTATTCCTTCTACCGTTATCATCTTAAAGGAGACCTGCAAAGAGACAAAATCGCCTTTGTTTCCTTTTTAAGCATCGTTGTGATGTACAAAGCATTTGTTTTGTTTAAAATACAAACCAGCTATATTACTTTAGAAATATCAGCTCTTGAATCTGTTTTAGCTGGAAGACTCCTTGGAGGACTGGAGAACTAGTGATGTTATAAACCCATCATGGCAAATTTCCCAGGGATGTAGCCTCTTTGCAGACTGACCTAGGCCCTAATTCAGCCAGGAGTTCAAGTACAAAACATTAATCCCGTGAGTAGTCCCACTTCCTTCAGTGGAACTATTCATGTTCTTAAAGTTAGGTGACATGCTTAGGGTCCTGGCTGAATCAGGGTCCTAAATAGGGACAACAGAGAGGGAAGAGGATTTTTAGTTCAATTGTTTACAGAGCTTTATATTTCCTTTGATTTACTTACCACCTATTTCACTCAAACTCCTGACAAAGAGGAAGGAGGGAAAACCCTCTTTGTGAAGGATTCGAACATCCTTCACCCTCTGTCTTCAACTGAGAGACAAAGAAGCTCCCGCTCCAGTTCTCTCGTCCTCGAAGGAGACCTCCAGCGACAAAATAGAGATGACAAGAGTTGACAGTCCTGAAGTTTCTAAGGTGGGAAAGGGGCATATTTTTCTGGAAAACACTACAGGTGGAAGTGGCTAGGCCTCCTTTCTGCACCACATAGAAAAAAATGCAGAACCAACAGATTATTTTTTCTCTTTGCAGGCCACATACATTTACTTTTCAAGGCCATACGGTGATGGGCAGCTCCAGGCTCTAAAAATTAAAACCCATTCATTATAGTGCTTAGAAAGCCCAATGGTTAGTCTCTAAGGTGCCACAAATACTCCTTTTCTTTTTGTGAATACAGACTAACATGGCTGCTACTCTGAAACCTTCAACAGGGTTACCCCAGGGTTGAATATGGGCCAAGGAGTGAATTTCCAACCCCCTATGGTTTCCCTGTGCTCATTTTTTTACTCTCCCCATTGAAAATTGCCACTGGCCTAGCGCTTTTGTTTGGTTTTATGAACTGTAGGGAGTTCCCTGCATAGCTGCCCTCCCAGATAGACATTATCTAGGCAAAGCACCGGCTAACACAAGGATGGGCCCCTGATCCTTCACACAGCTTTTGCTCCGGTAATCCGACAAGAATGTTCCCCCACCGCTGGGCTGTGGCCAGGCTAACCAGACACCATTGTCACTCCTTTATTGTCAGTAGGTTCCTTTATGCACCTTTCTCACCCCCCGACTCCCCCCGAGCACACAGGTGATACAGTGCAAACCATACTCTGCTGTCAATGACACTTGTGTAAATCCAGAACAAACCTACTGAAATCAATGGAGCCACTGCAGATTTACACCGGCGTGGCTTGGAGGAGAAGCAGGGCCATCACCTGTGCAGTGCCTATATGGCTCCTAGGGTAGTAGGTGAAGGCACTTGACAAAATGAATGTCGCTGAAGTTCCTCTGCGGTTGTTAAGTCCAGACCGTGAGAGGGCAGCAGAAACAGTTCCTTGTATCCATCGGCTGGGAGTTACACGTGGTAGAATGGGACTTAATCAATTAGCACAGCCTTCCACGTGGTAGCCAGACTTGGATATTAATAATGCCAGTATAAAGCCAGGGCAATGACATTGGCAGTGAGTCTGGCCCATTGACTGTAGCGTGTACATTACCAAAGCCTCTTGCATGGATGCGGTGTCAGCCAAAAATGTTCAAACTTGAGTGCCTAAAGCCAAGCACCCAACTCCGGGTGTTCAGGAGTGCACAGCACCTCTGCTTGCTATTGCATCCATGTGCGGGCCAGAGGAGTTAGCACTGCATTAGTCGTATCAGACAGGCTCCTAGGTTACTGGGGTTGTCTTAAATCACCAGATCCATCTCACTGCAGTTCTAATCCCGACTTCAAATTCTGGGGAACCAAAGGCAGTTAAAGGCACCAAAATGAGCAATAAATGCCTCAGCACCTGCCAGCGATTCCCTGAAAAATTCAGCGTTTGCCAACGATAGTGCTTCCTGCTACTATCTACCGCATTAGGCTAAATCCTGAGGCATGTCTGATACCGCTGGGTGGTCACTGGTGGCTTCTTACTGGGAACCACAATACCCACCTGAATGCATGACAGCAATTTAGACACCTTCGCAGGTTCTTGCTGGCACATGTTTGCAAATGAGACAAACAGCACCACCCTGAACCAGCCCCATATTTCACCCCCTTATAGTAAGGGTCTCTGGGAGTTCCAGTCCCCGCTTTCCCCTGGCTCCAGGGGAGCAGTAAACTCGACCAGCCTTTCTCCTAGGGCAGGTTACTCCCCACTCCGGGCAGTGCTGGCCATTGCCCTGGGCAAGGCAGCTAAGGCTCTGCCTACTCGGGAGAGATGGGGAATTGAGGACCATCAGTAGCTGCCCTCCCCTCTTGCAGGGTCAGGAGACATGTAGACAGGGGTGTGAGGGGGGAGCCTTACATCCCTTTCCTCCCCTGCGTGGGCTTGCAGCCAGGCTCACACCTGAGCCCTGTCAGCTTGCAGATGGAAGGAGATGGCGCTTTGCCTGACAAACAGTAGCTGAGCGTGAAGCGCTTTCCCCTTGTCCCCAGCCTCAGGAGCTGCCTCTGACGGTAACCGCAGCCCCATACTGACGACCTCGCACACAAGGAGCATAGTCATCCCAGGTGCTCAGAGTCAGTCGGAGCTGAGGGTGCTCAGCGCTTCACGGGATCAGGCCCCGTGGAAGAAAATGCTGCTTCCCACCCCCATCGCCCATCCCAGTCAAAATGGCCTGGAGGTCCCTGCTGCTCTATCTTGTTGCTTAGGAACTTCCAGGAAACATTAAGGGTGGGGCCAGGGAAATCCTTCCTGGCAGGGGTGCCCGCAGTATGTGAAGGGGGCTGATGCAGCCCATGGTGTCATATAAAGTGGCACCCAGCCGTGCTCTCCCTGTGGCGGCTGGGTGAGGACTAAGCCGATCAGCAAGCAGGTTTGCACTGCTGACGACTCCAAGCAACAAGCGATTGCTGGTCCTTGATCCAGGCTGATCGGGGCAAACGCTATGGTTGTACTTATTTTCTATTGAAACTTTATGTTAATTTATAGGCAAATTAGGGGGCTGATCCTGCTCCCACCGAAATCAATGGCAAAGCTCCCAGTGGCAGAGGCACTGAGCCCTAGGCGTGGCCCCAGGGAGCCTGGTAAAATGCCACAGCCCTTGATGCCACACAGATTGGACATCCTCTCTTGGCTTATACTTACACGTCAATGAAAAACATTTCCTTGCTAACATAGCCTGCAAAGATGTAACCTCTGGAGTTCTCAGAGCTCTGGGGCTGAGATCTAAACAATGCACTAAGGTAGCTCTTAAACACATTATTATGCCGGCATATATATATAATCTATCTCTCTCTATATATCTTACATAATATCTACTGACTATATTCACAGGAGGGAGCATCTCCCAAAGGGAAAGCGGAGCCATTTCTTCTCTGTCCATACAAGGATGGTGCTCGGTAGCACTGACGTGTACACTGACCGGCAATAGCTTTGGGGGATTGTCAGATGGTTTGGTATAGGTATTTATCCCTGGGTTTGATTTTGTTAAATCTATTTATTTGGAGATCCATATCTGTCTGATGAATCTGATTAAAGTGTTTCTGAATCCACATTCTTGGCACCTTCTTTTGTTTTCTAGGGTTGCTACGGTATTTTTCATACCTATGCATCATAGACCCCACACTGCCTCTATTTAGCCAAGGCTCCCGTTGCCATGGTACCTGAGCACCTATATGACACCATTGCTATAGTATCCCCATTGTACAGATGGGGAACTGAGGCAGATAGAGTCTAAGGCCCAGATCCTCAAAGATATTTAGGTGCCTAACTATCATTGAAATCAGTGGCAGTTCAGAGCCTAAATGACTTGCCCAAGGTCACACAGGATGTCTATGGCAGAGTCGACAACTGAACCCAGGTCATCTGCATTCCAAGCTAGTGCCCTGCTCACTGAACCATCCTTCCTCTTTATAAAATGTAGATAACAGAGACTCTCCTTTGCCGCATGTGGTGGGGGCTTGGTCCTGGGCGGGGTGGGTGGTTAAATTCTTTCCCTGCCTCTGCTTTGGAGTTCAGAGTGGCCTACATGTAACACAGCAAGATCACTGAAGCTCTAAGGGCCGCAGGGCTTTGCTGCAGTATTTTGAATAAAGAACAGGAGAACTTTATAAAGTGTGCAGAAAACAAGCACGGTGCATGGCACGTCCATTGCTAGCAAGGGAAATCTGGCTCAGGATTACAATTAATTATAATTAGTATTAGAGGCTCTGCAAGTGGCCCCACCCCAGATTCAGGATGCCATTGTGCTAGGCACTGTACATATGCAGGAGAAAGGCCGCGCCCCCAAAAGCTTACACTCTACAAAGCCATGACAGACAAAGGCTGGGAAGGGGAAAAGAGTCTCAGAGAGGAAGTGGCTTGTCCAAGATTACACAGGACGTTATTGGTCAAGCCCAAGACTAGGACCCCAGTCTTCTGCGCGCTAGGCTAGGAGGATGCAGTACTGGGCATACAGTCTGATGTGAGGAATGGCAGGAGCAAGCTGCAGTGCAAAGGACACATGATCCACTCCTCAGTGACGCCTCCCAGCATGCTGGCAAGGGGAGGAAGATTTGCTTAGCCCATTCTACAGATGAAGGAAGTGGGGCATAGCCAGACTCACGGTCTGAACCTTCCACCACTTCTTAACCTCCCAGCAGCATCAAGAGTGACGTGTGTCCCTTGTCAGTTCTATGCACCACGGAGGTCCTCTTCACTCCAGGGCCAGCCAGAACTCCTCCCCCTCGGGGCTCTCACTGTGACCATCCGTATGAGGGGCTTCTACAGCGCCCATCACCTGAGTATC